GCTGAGATATATTATCTTTGAAATTTGAACTTAGTAAAATTGTATATCAAAACTTAATCAGTAAGGAAAATTTCAATTCAACTTTGTGCTAGAGATTCTAGTGACATTAATTTATATCCAAATTCATTTTCACTCTAAAAAATTAACCTCAACACCTAAAAACAATCAATTCGAGAATCACCCGATACGACTTTATATGCAAATTAAGAATGATTCGGACCATAGCTTAAAAAAATTCTAAGTATTACAACTTACCTCGCATATACTAAATATTTTTAAAACGGAAAAGGGCCTAAAATACCCTCGAAGTATTGAAAATGGTACAAAATTACCCTCCATCCACCTATTGGCTCTAAAATACCATCCCCACCAACCTATTGGCTCCAAAATACCCTTGTCATCCACCTTTGGGTTCAAAATTGACCACTTATTTAACGATTTTAAATTTAAACAATTTAAATATTTTTTTTAAATACGTTACGCTCAACTATTTGTTATAATTTAACTTATTTATATAATTTATAAATCAATCCACTACCACCCATGACTAATTAAATCCCACCAAAATAATAAACCCATCACATTACTAATGCAACAACAAGAAAGCTACTTCCAATGAGAGTTTTTGAAAATTTGAGGCGAAAATATCTAGAGAAGTAAATTGTATCATATATTCAAGTGTCTAATAAAAATTAACGATAAAATTAAAAGTCTGACTATGTTCATCTTAATTATTCATTTGTCTCAATTATGTGATGTTACATCATAGATGAATTTTTTTAAAAAATAATATATTAAGTTTTTAAAACAAACCATAAATATTTATAATTATATTTAAAAAAAAGTGCATGAATTAATTGGGATGTACTACTTCTTTAACTTTAATCATAGATTTTGATTTCAAGCTTGAAATAGAATCCTATTAAAAGTGTCCTCCTAAATAAGAGGCTCAACCTAAATTTAATTGGGGCTTTGATTCAGAGTCGAATAATTCTGGATGTCATTTTCAGGGATCTATAATTTCGTCGTGTTTTAGTAGTGTTTATGACAATTTTGATATTATAATTGGTTTATTAATTCGATGGTGTTTAGTTAATAATGAGTCGGTAGTGGGTTGGTTTATAAATTATATTAATAAATTAAATTATAACCAATAGTTGAGCTCCAAGTATTTTAAAAATAATCTAAATAGTTTAATTTTCAAATAGTTAAATAAGTGGTCAATTTTGAACCCAAAGGTGGATGACAAAGGTATTTTGAAGCCAATAGGTAGATGAGAAGGGCATTTTGGAGCCAATAGGTGGATGGAGGGTAATTTTGTACCATTTCCAATACTTCAAGGCTATTTTAGACCCTTTTCCATTTTTGAAATCTTCCCTATGGGAAAAATCTAAAAACATAATGCATAGTGCTCGTGAATTTACCCACCAAAGTTAGTTCAACTCTTTGGCGGTAACCCCATAGTAATCACTTTGTGTGAAAATGATTGTTGGCATGCTAGTGAGAGTAGCATAACAAACTTTCACTTATGGATTCCCAAAGTCAATGGTTGCTAAGGCATGGGATAGCACTTAACAAGCACTTGAATTACTTTGGAATGTTAGATTGTAACGGTCTTTTCTCCTTTTTTTTCGTGTAGGATTAGTGTGAGTTTTTCTATAGTAATTTCAAGTCATTTATGATTTACTAGAATGACCATTGTATCGTTCGTTTAGTTTTTATATAAGTTTTTTCGTTGTAGCTTCTAAACTTTAGATTGACTATGACCATAACTTCAGGTAGGGGTATTCACAGTTTGGATATATAAACAAATTCAAATCGATTAAATGAAAACAATTTTATTTAAATTTGGTTTGATTTTAGATTTTTTAAAACCGATAGTATTTAGTTCGGTGATGATTTTGTTTGAGAAAAAGTAAAGAAATAATTGACCCGATTATAATATATTATTTTTTAAAACAATTTTAAAGATCTTAATTATACTATTTTCATCAAATTTTATTTATAATTCTTATGAAAGCAAAAATGTTCAAGTTGAGAACATTTATTTTATTGTTGCATATATATATATATATATATATATATATAT